TGGATTGGTTGGGCAAACTCCCATGCCCCCTCCATCACCCTTGCAAGGGTATAGAGCTGGTCCACAGTTCCACGGCCAGGACGAAAACCACATTGCTCCTCCTCTATCTGAGATTCAACTATCGATCGGACCCTCCTCTCCAGTACCTTGGAGTAGACCTTTCCAGGGAGGCTGAGGAGTGTGATCCCCCTATAGTTGGAACACACCCTCAGGTCACCCTTCTTAAAGATGGGGACCACCACCCCGGTCTGCCACTCCCTAGGAACTGCCCCCGATGACCACGCAATGTTGTAGAGACGTGTCAACCATGACAGCCCTACAACATCCATAGCCTTGAGATACCCAGGACGAACCTCATCCGCCCCCGGGGCTCCGCCGCTGTGTAGTTGTTTGACTACCTCAGCAACTTCTGCCCCCGAGATCGGACAGTCCATCCCCAGGCCTCCCAGCTCTGGTTCCTCCTCGGAATGCGCATTGGTGGGATTGAGGAGCTCCTCAAAGTATTCCTTCCACCGTCCGACTATAGCCCCAGTTGACGTCAGCAGCTCCCCATCCCCACTGTAAACAGTGTGAGCGAGTTGCTGCCTTCCTCTCCTGAGGCGCCGGACAGTTTGCCAGAACCTCTTTGGAGCCGATCGATAGTCTTTCTCCATGGCCTCACCAAACTCCTCCCACGCCCGAGATTTTGCCTCGGCAACTGCCACTGCTGCACCCCGCTTGGCTATCCGGTACCTGTCTGCTGCCTCCGGAGACCCACAGACCAGCCACGCCCTGTAGGCCTCCTTCTTCAGCCTGACGGCTCCCCGAACCTCTGGTGTCCACCAGCGGGTACGGGGGTTGCCACCACGACTGGCACCGGCCACCTTACGACCACAGCTAGCAACAGCCGCCTCGACAATCGCAGAGTGGAACAAGGCCCACTCGGACTCAATGTCCCCCACTGCTCTCGGGACGTGGTCAAAGCTCTGCCAAAACATGTTTTTGTCTAAATGAAGGTGATGTTGTTCATAGAATTAAAATTCATGTTGAAGTTAAGATTATTTCATCAAGTAGTGTCAGTGTTGACCGGCGGCGGCACGTGGTTTGAAGGAGAGGCAAACAAGTAAATCAGGTTGAGGTGGCTTTATTGCAGCATGTTTTGTCACCAACACCAACCCTAACATTAACACTCACTGCCTTTTATACCCAAGTGACTGATTGGAAGAAACCAAGAAGAGGGGGTAATCAAAGAAATAATAACTAAATAATATTTACAGAACCCAACCACCAAAATAATAAATGGTACCAAACATTATTTACATAAATACAAATCATACTAAATAAATCCAAGTTCAATCAAACAAAAGAAACTAGGTTTCACATAACTCCTCCAAGAATCACCCCTCCTTATTTAAGTGGTATGCTCCAGCAGCTTAAAAGCAGCACCTGGGACACAAACTTCCCTTTGCTGCCCCGCCCTGCTGAGGAGACAACACCAGAAAGGTGAGTGAAACTTTGGAGATTAACTTAAACACAAATTGACATTTAACCAACATTTCCTCTTTACACAGGAAGGGTGGCCAGTCCCTCTGCTTCTAAAGAATCTGTTACAAATGTCAAACACAAAATAAATCCCTTCAATAACAAAACCTTTTGTCTGTAACTCAATCAGAACTAACAGAACATAAATCACAATGAATGGAACCCCTGGTCTCCATTACAAGTAGGACCTGTGGTTAGCTGGCTCATGTAAAACATGTCATGTCTTCAAAGAATCGGAATCGGGAATCGATAGGAACCGGAATCGAAACGAGGAATTGGAATTGGAATCGTTCAAAATCAAACGATGCCCAACCCTACACGTGACCTAACGGCTTATTTAACCCCGGTATCATTCCAGAAGTGCAGCGGTGTGTTTTTCATGGCTTTAATCCTGCCAGTGGAGAGGAACAACAACATATATGACATCAAACATGATTTCTTCGTTTTTGGTTTAATGGTAAACAGCAAAAGCAAACTGACCTTTAAACTAGGCTGACCATACATCCTATCTTCCCCGGACATGTCCACTTTTCACCGTCTGTCCGGGGTGCCCGGGGGGGGGGGGGTTCCTACATAGAACTAAATGTCCAGTTTTTCATCCAGGAGCAGGGATCGAGTTTTGGGGGGCTAGATATCTTTCAGGGAAAGATCCAGTCTCTGCCTATATTACAATATTTATGGACTCTCAGCGTAGCGGGATTCTGTTGAGCGGAGAGGACGCAGAGCGCTGATCGTTGGTGTGCCCGCTGCGTCCCGGCGCACGATACATTCTCAAAACATTATTATTAACACATGATCAATCATATCTGTTTATATCCTCTGGTACTCTGTCTTTTACTCATGCCTGACACGCTCTGCTCATCCTGTGCTGCGGTGATTTCACCTAACTGACGCAGCATCGAATCGCGCTCTCCACTTTGCGGTAAGGAGATCCCTTTGATCTACTCAAAAGTCACTGATGAGGTGAAAAAGTAAGAATCCAGGCAGCAGTTTTTCTGGAGTGTTTAGAGGAGATGCAGGAAGATGAGAGACAGACAGGACAGGAAAATAGTTACATCAAAACAAGAAAACAAAGCTTGAAAGTCAAATGTAGGTAGATTTATCTCCACTACGCGTTTTATAAAACAATAAGTTATACACGTGTAATATTTATACATCTGTTACAATTCAGATCACCTTCAAACACACACCCAGGGCCGTTTCAATGCATTTTGGGGGCCAAGGCCAAACAGCATAAAACAAATCGTTATCGAGGTCAAATCCTCAATATATCGTGATATTGATTTTAGGTCATATCGCCCAGCCCTAGTGTGACATCATCGATAGGCACAGATCTCCTGTCCTCTTTTTTGGAAATGGAAATATGGTCACCTTACTTTAAAGTCTCGAAGGATCTAGTGATCTCGTCCAGCGAGGAGGATGGCAAGGAAGCTGTTCCACTGCCAAGACTCTCCCGGGGTTCAATGGACAGCATTGAAGCTCGCAAGTAAAACGCTCTGCCCTGCTGATGCTTCCAGTGTGAAACAGGCAACACTAGCGCCACCGGTAGCGTTGGGTACCGAATTCGGTACTTTTTAAGGTACCGACCAAATTCCACAGTACCGACTGAGCACCGATTCACGTCATTTGAAACGGTGCCTCGTTTCGGTACCGGTTCTTCTTAACAAGAACTTGAGTAGACAGCTGCGCATGCGCAAGAGCGTTATGTCGTCGGTCGCTGCGAGCGAGTTGTAAACAGAGCAGCATGGTAGAAAGAACGCACACTAAAGCTTGGGTCCACTTCACTAAATGTGATGGGTAACTGGGTGAAGATGAAACCAGCGACAACGATCTAAGTGTGAGGCATCATCGTTTTAATCTGCTCCAGCAGTTAAATAAAATGTTTAAGATAACGTTAGCTTGATATGTTAGCTTCCGTTCCGCTAATGGTGCGTTCGCTATCTCCTCGGAACTCCGAATTTCTGACTAGAAGAACATGAACACACTCTAAAGTTTGGCTTCACTTTACTGAATGCGACGGGTGATTGGGTGAAGATGAAACCAGCAACAACGATCTAAGTGTGAGGCATCATCCTTTTAATCTGCTCCAGCAGCTAAATAAACTGTTTAAGATAACATTAGCTTGATATGTTAGCTTCCATTGCCACCATTGTTATCAGCTAATGGTGCGTTCGCTTACTCCTCGGAAATTCTAACTTCCCAGTAGGAAAAATCAAATGAAAAAGGACGGCAAAAGGAATGAAGATACACAGTAAATTTAGTTCACAGTAAAGATGTTTGCTTCAGTTTAATTATCAGCTTATAAAACTACAAGGACGATGTTAAAATACAAACAGTTGTATGTTATTTATCATGATATTTATCAAATATGGTTATATATTGAGAAAAATATATATCTAATTATGAAAGAAAATTAAAATATTAAACACTCAAAAGTATCTAAAATTGGTACCGTGAAGTACCGGTATCGATTCGTAGGTACCGGCAATTAGTACCGAATCGATTCAAATGTCAAAGGTACCCATCCCTAGACCGGTCCCTCCGACCACCACCAGCAGGAAAAGCGGGTTAGTCGTCTTGTCCATGGACACAACAGCATTTTCTGGTGGGAGCTGGGATTGAACCTACAACCTTTTGATTACAGGGCAACCTGCCCTACCTCCTGAACTACTGCTGCCCTTAAATAACCAGTAGTGTTTAAGATTCAAGATCCTTTTATTGTCAGTGCACAGGTGTACAACGACACTGACTTTGCGCTCACCATCACCCTGTGTGTCTGCTTGGGTTTCTGTGTTCCCGGAGCTCCTGCATGCAGGTGGGTGCATCTGGGAGCTCCCTGTTGCTGCCGGTTTGGGTTAGGGGGAGCAGTGGGACACTCATTCAGCGCTGGAGGATTACTCACACTGGTACACGCTTGTGTTGCGTGAAGTCTTGTGTCCCAAATTTGCCAGTTAGTCTCGTTACAGCCTTGTTATTGTTTTTGCTACAGCTGTGATCCCGTCTCTAACAAGGGCGCCCCCAAGGGGTGGCCAGGGGTGGACATGGCCACCCCTAGAAAATTGCTGTTTATTCAAGATATAATTGTGAAACAAAATAAAATATTACTATTGAGTAAAGAAATAATCAGAATAAAAAAAATACATGTTTCTGCTGCTCACCATTTTAAAAAAGTTTTTATCTCCATAGTTTTTTTAACACGAATTAACCAAAAAAAATTTTTTTTAAATTAAATTTGGGAAAACATTTCAAATAACTGAAATTTATTTTTTTAAAATGTTTGTGTTTGTAAAATTTAAGTTAAATGTTTCGGATACCTACAGTTATTTTAATAAAAACAAAAAGAGGTGTAATGCAGTACATTGCCACAGAGTTACCACAAGGATCAATTTCGTGTACCACCCCAAAAATTTCTTTGGCTCCATCCGGCCTCCCCTATCAAAATTTTCTGGAGAAACCCCTGGTTACGCCTCACCTCCAGGATCTCTGGTCCCCACCACAAAAGCCCTCTGCAACCCACCACGTCTCCACGCCTGCCACGTCTCGCTGTTTGTTCCCCCTGGCCATCAGCTCTCAGCCGCCTGCCTCCCTCAGCCTTGCCTCTCGTCTGTCTGTCCTTGGAACCCACAGTGGTCCTCATCCATGCTCAGCTCCCTCCACATCTCCTGGACATCTACCCTCGGTTCTCACAGACCTGAATTTCACTGGTAAAATTTTATTGATTTTTTTTATCTATTATTATTTTTGTCAGATTGAATTTATTTCCGTGACCATTGTGGATTTTTCTTTCATTGACCAACAACTGATTCCACATCTGCATGTGGACTTGTACCTGGGCAGCTGTGTTGTTCTGGGATATTTGGGTCTCAGCGCTGCTTCAACAGCGCGATACCCTCACTAAGGACGAGCAAAATATCAATCATGTTTAATATTCACACAGCAACACGATTGCTGATCGGGAGCTGGTCGTGAGGGGTTTATCATCTCTCGTTACCCCCTTTATACTACACGATGCAAAATCGCCCCGACATCAAAGATTCTCGCACGAGAGGAAAATCAGCTCATCGCGGGCCAAAAAGCTTTACTGTGGATGACTCGTCTTCCAGAATCTTCTGCCACTAATCTGCACCTGGCAACAGTCATACACTCACAAATGGGAGGGGAAGTCACTCATTCCAGCAGGGACTGCAATAACCACATTTGACCAGAGGATGTCATGTTTACGCGTCTCTCATGCTGCTGCTCCTCATTTCCGAACGGAGCCCGCTGGGATTTGGAGCATCTGACTAGGAGGCCTCTGGTATTAAAATATACAAAATTTCAAGTAACGCCCACTTTTCTTGTCAGAATATACTAATAAATTATTTAAGTAGTAACAACTTGATTTGAAGTAAACTAAACTGAGATTAATTAAGTAGTCTCAACTTCAGAATAATTACAGCTCACTCATATAAAATAACTTGACAATATTTTCCACAATTAAGTTTGTTTACCTACTTTTCCTAAGGTATTTGTTTTCCTAAATATTTTCAAGCAAACTTAGCTTGTTAAAATTTACAGTGTAACTTCCCAGATTTTTAATGAATGGAGATCCAGGGCCCGCTGGTTGGGAAACACTGATGCAGCCAAGCATGTTTCTCAGAGATTAATAAGTTAGAAGCAGAACATAGTCAACCCTCTAGCTTCACTTACCGCTGTAACAAATAAAGATTTTCTTTATGTCACACATCCAGTCCTCCCAGAGTCCAGAACTTCTGAAGTTGGCTGCAACGCAGCTCTGCTTTCCTCCACTAGGCTCAGCGTTTGGTGTATTCCAGTACGTAAACGAAAAGGTGCTGTCATCTGACCACATCCAGTTGTTTCTGTACAGACCGAACCAAGAAATTGAAGGTGCTATCAGTTTCACCAGCCCCTGGTTCTCCATCGAGTTCCTCACACTGGCCAGGTCTGTGTGATGTTCTCTGCAGTAGCTCTGAGCCTGAGTCTGGTTCATGCGGATGCTGATGGGGTAAAATGTTGCATCCATCCCTGAAAACAGAACATCTCCACAATAATGCTTGTAACGTGCAGGTGAAGGTTCTCAGTCATCCAGGTTATGGTGAGCCAAAGGTGTTCTAATGAAGGCAGCTGGACGTCTTAGTTTCTTGAAGACATTTTACTTCTCATCTGAGGAGCTTTGTCAATTCAGACTTGACAAACTCCTTGGATGAGAAGTAAAACGTTTTCAAGAAACTAAGACGTCCAGCTGCCTTCATTAGAACACCTTTGCTTGCAACGTTAGTTCGAAAAAGTCAAATACTTGTTTTAGTTTTCCAGGAAAACATTGAATTGAGTCTGAAATGGTATTTCAACATTTTACTCATTACTTCCTCATTCATAATACTACTACTACTACTACTACTACTACTATTACTACTACTAATAATAATAACAATAGTAGTGATGATAATAATAATAATAATAATAATAATAACAATAATAATAATAATAATAGTCGTCGTAATCTTCCTCCGCTTATCCGGGTCCGGGTCGCGGGGGCAGCATCCCAACTAGGGAGCTCCACACCGTCCTCTCCCCGGCCACCTCCACCAGCTCCTCCGGCAGGACCCCAAGGCGTTCCCGGACCAGATTGGAGATGTAACCTCTCCAACGTGTCCTGGGTCGACCCGGGGGCCTCCTGCCGGCAGGACATGCCCGAAACACCTCCCCAGGGAGGCGTCCAGGAGGCATCCTGACCAGATGCCCAAACCACCTTAACTGACTCCTTTCGATCCGGAGGATCAGCGGTTCTACTCCGAGTCCCTCCCGAATGTCCGAGCTCCTCACCCTATCTCTAAGGCTGAGCCCGGCCACCCTACGGAGGAAACTCATTTCGGCCGCTTGTATCCGCCTGTCGATCTCCCGATCCCTCCTACCCTCACTCGTGAACAAGACCCCGAGATACTTAAACTCCTCCACTTGAGGTAGGACCTCTCCCCCGACCCGGAGTTGGCAAGCCACCCTTTTCCGGTCGATTTGACAATAATAATAATAATAATAATAATAATAATAATAGTAATAATAATAATAATCATACTAATAATAATAACAATAGTTATAATAATAATAATAATAATAATAATAATAATAATTATTATTATTATAACAACAGTAATATTAAGAATAACAATATTAATAATAATAATAATTATTATTATTATAATATTATAACAACAGTAATAATGAAAATAACAATAATAATAATAATAATAATAATACTTTTTAAATAAAAATTATTATTATTATTATAACAACAGTCATATTAAGAATAACAATATTATTATTAATAATAATAATTATTATTATTATAATTATAACAGCAGTAACAATGAAAATAACAATATTAATAATAATGATAATAATAATAAAAATAATGTTTAAATTATTATTATTATTATTATTATTATTATTATTATTACAATTACTATTATAAATATTATTGTAATAAGAATTTTATTCATAATATTAATAACATTCATAATTAATATTTTTTTAGGTACCCAAAGCTCCCCCTCCACACAATTAATTATTCATTCACTCCCTGGAGGTGGAGGTAAACGACATCTGCCTTGCCCACCAACAACATCTTTATTATCAACACTAATTTTATTATTTTTCTTTAAAGCAGCACTGATGCTCCTCAGTAAAATGCTCACCACTGACATCCATGCAGACTGATGTTGAGTTCTGAGAACATGGAACATCAGCCCATCCACCGACTATACCGTTTATCACTGCACAGGCCTCGTCTCCACCATGATTATCTGGCTGTACGAAAAACCAGTTTCTGAAGTTCTCATTCTGTTGGTAGAAGCTGGGGTCTGACATGGACCACCTCCAGCTGTTCAAATCATTATAGAGTCCAATCCAGGCGTCCTGAAAACACAAACGTTTGTTTCTCTTTACAAACAGCTTCAATGTTCAGACTCATTCATTCACATTTTCATGACTTCTGCCTCCTGATTCACAAGGATAAAAGTAAAAAAACCACATCAACCACAACATTTGCCAACAGTATTATTGATAGTGATTAATGCCTGGCTCCTTGATGTACAGGTGACCTGTCCAGGTGACTCAGACAACCACAAAGCATGATTTAAGGACCTTAAGTTTCCTCACTGGGATCCTTTAGAACCAACAAACATGCAGCGGAACCAAAAGAGAGGTGATAAAACCAAACATACGTAGGCGTTTGAAGAGGCGAACATCTGATTTAGATTGGCCAGTTTGTTCAGCGTCGCCACGTCCTTCACGTCCGCTACAGTCGCCAGGTCGATGAAGTTTTCTCTGCAGTACCTCTGAGCTTCGGTCCAGTTCTTAGCCTGATAAATAAAATGATAGTTCCTCTGAGGAACTGTAGAGACGGCACACAGAGCTGCAACCACACACGGTAAATAATCAGTCCAGTGGTTCACATCTAAACTAATAAACCAGGTTTAAAACAGCAGCAGTGACGACGTTTCTAATTCTCTCACAGACGTGAATAATGAGCTTTTATAAAACACCTACCTGATGCAACAGAGAAGATCAGGAGAACCTTCTCCATCTTCCCAGGTTCTCGACGTTCTGCTTCTTCACTCCGAGACTCCGGAGGAGCTGAATGACTCTGATGTCTTACGTGAAGTTTTATTCCGAACATTATTTGCATTTTTGTGTAAACTAAGAAATCCTCATTACGTGACAAGTCAAAAAGATTTAAATCTTTATTTCCATAGACAAGGTCACAAAAACCTGATGTCTGAGGAACAACAGAGGGTTGATCCTGTTTCACCTGTTCTTCTAGACCTCTGTACGCTCGCTCTTTTGTGGCAAGAGCTGAGAGAGACACAAAGAGTATCTTTTAGCAGCTTTTACTGTGGAGGGAGGCAGCACTGAGACCTGAACACAACCGAAATGGTTGAAGTAAACCGCAGGAATCCCTAAAATAAAAAAGTACATCTGGACCTTTATTCTGGTCTCCTTTTGAAACTCTGGTTGTCCTGGATGACTGGATGGATGCCTGAGGGTTAGTTTACTGGTTCATTGCTCCACAAAGTTTAATTATATCAATAAGACAACCTCAGTACAAAATGCTCCATAATGGAGCCAGGAGGGGTGCAACATGCGCGAGTGGAGAAAGATTGACATCCTGTGGTCAAACTGAGGTACTGCAACCCGTTTTCTAAACAAACAGCTACTGTCTCGCTGTCGTTTGTGAGTTTCGTGGCTGATCAGTGCCAGAAGGTTCTAGATGACGCGTGAAGACATGTCATACGCATTAAGTTGGTAAATACTCTGTCCTATCTGGATCTAGATGTAGTATAGTAGGGGGCATCAGAGGAGACGTTGTTGTTTACGTCTTGCTGTTATAGTTCTAAACGACTCAAACAAAAGGAGTAAAACCACACGACTGACTCATTATGCGCTTCACACACATTTCACCGTAATGTGGAGTTGTAATAGAAAAAGAAGCTTGAAATATTTTTTTAAGTTGACTATTTGCTTGTAAAACATTGTTAGCATTATTAGCTCAGTGTTAGCCTCTAGCCCGCTCCAACCAATGTTAGAGTAAAATAAAAAGATGACGTGGCTTCTTAGGGGCACGAGAAATGACTTCAGGGGCACTAGATCACGACTGATCAAGGTGACATAAGTTCACGCTCTCAGATGCATAAGAAAACATAAATGAAAATACAAAATCATATATTTAGACTATAGCTTTGTACAGATGACTGTGAGTTTGTTTCTGGCTGGAAGTTTACATTTTGGGTCAATAAACCAAATTGTTGAAAATGTTGAGCCTCCACTGTGGACAGAGACTATCACCTTGTCAGTGTTGTTGCTCTAGAATAATCTATATAAATACACAGGAACCATAAATCAATCCAAACGTTATTAAATGTTTAATCTTATTTAGACTCAGCTCTCAAACGACTTACGCTGAGGAGAAAGGAAATGGGAGTTCACTCACCTGCTGTTTATTTAGAACGCTTAGACTCAAATGAAAATTGGAAATAAAATATATAAGTTGAAACATCTATTTTTATCTACTTTGTAAAATATTCATTTAACCATCAGTCAAAATATGTCAACTAATTGAGAATAAAATAATGCAACTTTAATAGTTTAACTGAAATAGGTCAGTGGTACTCGTGGCAGTGTGTGTGTCCTGCCACAGCGTCCCGATTGATCATGCGTCCTGACTACTTGGACAAGTGGATGTCCCTTTGGCTGGCTGGTTAGTGTGCATGACTCTCACCTGGGAGTCTGGGGATCGAATCCCGTCCGGGCCCTCGTCTCTCCACCTTGCCACATACTGTTATCAGTCTCATTTATGGACGGTTTTCTACATTTTTAAAGTTAATCCGTTTTATTTGAAATATTCTGAATTTGAACAACTCTTGGTTTATTTAAGCTACTTCAAGTCTGACCTTCTGACTCACAGTGATGCAGGGGACTGTTCTGTTCTGGTCCTGCTGGACCTGACTGCAGCCTTTGACACTGTTGACCATCACCTGCTACTGGAGAGGCTCAGAGACTGGGTAGGCCTATCAGGAACTGCTCTGGAGTGTTTCTTCTCTGTGGCTGTCTCCAAGTTTAGGTCCTCCACCACCTCCTTTACCCATGGTGTCCCGCAAGGATCTGTGCTGGGGCCTCTGCTCTTCCTCCTCTATCTGCTTCCTCTTCAGCACATCCTGAGCTCCTTCAAATGAATCTCCTACCATCTTTATGCAAATGACATCCAACTGTACATCTCCTTTAAGCCCCATGAGATGTCTAAGCTGCAGCTGTTACACACCTGCTCTGACTCTATCAAAACCTGGATGGTGGGAGCTTTCTTCAGCTGAATGAAGATAAGACTGAGATCCTCATCTGTGCCCCAGACAAGCTGGTTCCCAAAGTCAGAGACTCTCTTGGTCAGCTTGCTTCTCACACCAAACCCTCAGTCAGCAATCCCTGAACTGTCTACAGGTGGTTCAGAACGCCTGTGCTCGGCTTCTGACCAAGTCCTCCAAACACACCCACATCAGCCCTCTTCTCCTCCAGCTTCATTGGCTGCCAGTCAAGTTTGGGGTTCATTTCAAGATCCTGGTTCTGGTCTATAGGGCCTTACATGGACGAGCACCATCTTACATTGGTGATCTTCTTAGTCCCTACACCCCCAGCAGGTCCCTGAGGTCCAGTGATCAAAGCCTACTGGTTGTGCAGCACCAGGCTAAAGGTCAAAGGTGACAGATCATCTGCTGCTGTGGCCCCCAGACTCTGGACCTCTCTCCCCCTGAGCCTGAGATCAGTGGACTCAGTGGTCTCCTTTAAACTCACCTGTTCAGGCTTTGGTGGGACCTTCATCACCACCCTGTCCTTAGTCCGCCTTTCCCGGGATCCACTGATTTCTCCCTTTCCTTACATTTTTAAATCACAATTTTTATATCTTCTAATTTTAAACATGTTTTAAATACATTATGGAAATATTTTTTACACTTGAATTTTTTTCTGTTTTGCTGAAGCGCCTCATGTTTTTTAATCTTTGGAGGCACTAAATAAAAGACTTCTTTCTTTCTTTCTTTCTTTCTTTCTTTCTACATGGAACAAGCTTCAAACAGATTGGAACTGAACTGAATTAATTTCACTAAACTCCAGAGTGAGAGCTTTTCTGTCGAACTCTTCACACTGTAATTGTTTTTCATGATGTGCATAAAATAGAATTTTTTTGTTTTGCTGTCTCTTGGCCAGGACACCCTTGGAAAAGAGGCTTTTAATCTCAATAGGACCATTCCTGGTTAAATAAAGGTAAATAAGTCTGAAATGTGTTATTGGCAGAGGGTTTTAGACAAATGCGGGATAACTTTTTAAAATTATCTGAATTAAAATTGTTTAAATGTATTTGTATCAGGAGGAATCGTATTGGCAGAGGGTTTCTCTGTGTCGTTGATGTATCACATCACTGGTAGCAGATCGAATCAGCCTCAGTGGTGGGGATTCACATCTTTAAAGGTCGACTATGGAACACAAACAATCCGGTGACCTCTGGTGTTCAGAGGTGGTATTGCAATAACAGGACAACTTTTCCAGCTGCTGGGATGTTGGTTCACTGCTGACACGCTCCAGCACCACGTTCAGAGACCAACCGTACAGGATAAGGACTCATCTCTACTAATAAGTTTATTTTACAACAGTATTTACCGTTAGAACATCTTCTGAGCTCTGAATCAGCTGCTTGACTTGTCAAGTCTGCCATTTTACACAGTCCCAGCAGACTTTTTAGAGCTACGGTGCCCTCTAGTGGCTGGTAGACGTAAACATAAACAGTGTCGTGCCCGACAGAAAAAAATGTGATTATTTATCTTTTTAAATATAGCTTTTAGAGGAGAAACTACACTCATTCTGCACACCTCTGAACGCCCTGCAGGGGAATTGTTTTTTTTAAATATAGCTGTTTATTAAAATGTTCCATATTCTAACTTTAATGTGCATACACAGACTCCACCCACACTTCCTCTTCGAAAACGACACCAAAAGGAGGCGTCGCCTGAAAGACTATGAGAGCAGGGCTACAGCAGTGAGTCAGCTCATGTAAGCTTTTGCCTGAGAAAGGATAGCGTTTAGGTTAGTTTAGACACAGTAGACAGCTACTAGGTCTGGTTTTGTTCAACCACCATTTACTCTTGTTTGATTATTTAATAAAACTCATTTTTACAAAGACTGTCACTCCATTGCAGTTGCCACATTGCATCCCTCACTCCTTTCTATCTGACGGGTGGTAAGAATAGCATCGTTTCCTTGTAAAATTGATAATTGCTTATCTGTGAAATGCCTTATTTGGACAAGGGAAGTAAAGGATTGTTCTGGAATTGCTGTAATTTTCTAGCTGTTGAATCGGACACGTAGATTTGGAAGGGAAATCGTTTATAGCACCAGCTACCACTGCTGTCCTCAGTGATCCACCACTCCTCCACAGAAAACATCCACTCTCACATTTCCTTTTTATTTTATTTTAATTTGACTTTTTCTTAATGTGCAGAAATTTTGAAAACATTCAGCAAATATCATCCAGAACATCTCGAAGTGTTAAAAATAGTAATAAAAACATAATTGACGTTATTCAGAGAGCTTTTTGACCAATTTTATCCAACACATATTGAACAAAAAAGGAATTTTTTGGATTGTGGTGACCATAGCTTTTTATTTGTTAATTAGTAAAGACTCATAAAAAGGCACCAGACAGAAAAGGTGTGAGCTCTTAATCAAAAGGAAGAAAGTTCTGTTTCGCAATGAGCTGAATTTCACACAAAATTCAGGATTAAAGGGGATTTTGTAGAGAAAACATAAAAAGGCACACCAAAAATATTTTTAAAGATTATGAAGAGCATCCTAATGTAGAAGAAATGCTTTAACATGGAAGAAAGAACACCTTTCTAGGAAAGAATTCGTCCTCCTGAACGTTACAACCACTGTACAGAAATTTATTTTTCCAATAAATCCTAGAAAAATTCTATTAGATAAATACTTGCTACTTTTAAACATCATACCTAATATAGATGATGAACTGAAAAAATCACACGCTACATAAACAGCAGAACAATCAAGAGCAATCATGTTTAGGCTTGACTTCCTTTGAAGGATTCTTCTCCTCATCCTTGGAGAAGACTTGTCCGTTGGGCTTCTCCCGCCACCTCAGCTGGACGTTGTTCACTCCCTGACCCTTCAGCTTCAGTTTGAGCTGAAACACAAACGCGTCAGTTTCTGAGTCCGATCCTCCACGAGGCTCTTAGAGAGCTACTTTGGGTTCAAGGAGCCGTCTCATCAACCCAGAGGAGAGGTTCGGCTTTTTTCAACAGACATTTGAGACCAAGTCACAAGATTTAAAGTTCATCGTGCTGAATGATCACAGCCAACAGAATTATTATTGAGAGGGATGTCACCACACGTGCTTAATTCTCATGTTGATGCTTTAAAAGCTGAAAATCTGATTGAATCATAAAACTATCTAGAACTTACCTGACCGAGCATGTCTTCCAGCACAACAGGGTCACTCAGGTTCAGAGAGGAGTCCCTCACTAGTTTCAGCTTCACTGCTCTTCGCGAGGGACCTTAGAGGAACAAAAATGCATCGTCATGGTTTCATATATCAGATTCTCCATCATCTCTGCCTGTATTGGTATAGAGCTCCAGGAGTTGACGTCACTTCTCCCGGCATGCAACAGTTCAAATCGAACGGCGCCATCTTGGCAGGCAGAAGCCCACAGCTGGACTATTTGTTATTGTCAGAAAACTCAATCAAACTGGAAATATGGTAGATTCCTGTTGTGCCCTAGGATGCCAGAAGAGACGCGGACGAGATAAGGGCAGAGCCTTCTACAGGATTCCCCAAGATCCGGAACGCCGCAAACGTTGGATCATTGTAATAAAACGCGCTAGCCTCCGGGCTAAAATGAAGCTGTGGGATCCCGAGAGTAAAGATTTTCACTTATGCAGCGACCGCTTCATATCAGGTACTTAAACCAACGTTTCCTCAACTGTGTATGGTGTTTATTTTAAATGCTTTTATTATGATTCTTAGTGGGCTTCCTAAACTTATTTTGGCGGGGCTTTTTCTGTCTTATTACTCATAGCAACAAGTAAACGTCACGTAAAACGTTGCCTCGTGAGTTCTGCGTGCTGCCGTTTACGTGTTTTATGATCACAGCAATTAACCGGCTAAGCTGTATTTAATTTTTAAGCAATGGTTGATCAATTGTCAGATCACACATAAAAAGCACTTTGGATGCTATTATCTGTCTCTATTATCTCTACTTACCCTCCCGGTGACCACAGCGCTGCCCTTTGCAGGAAGAATCCAGATCTGGATACCGACAACAAACTCTGATTGAGTCCATTTGTATCCCTCCAGGCTTTTATATGCTCTTAGCGATGCTCCGGAGTAGGACGAGGGAAAATTAACAAGGAAATTATAAATGTCAGGGTATCTCAAATCCGGTAAGAGGTCCGCTCCGACAGCTTCTGGTGTTTTAAAAAGTTTCCCAGGGGCATGGTAAGGGTCGGAGATTCAAATTCTATTCAAATTCAGACAAACTTTATTAATCCCAGAGGGAAAGTAGAGTTTCAGTACGCACAATACTGAGATCAGACCTACATAGGCATAGACACATGACAAGAATTGGTGACTGTGATCATTCGCAACCCGAGTCGTGCTACCTTAATAGAGATCAGAGGGTTCATATGAGGATTGGGTCAGGTGGAGGACAAAAAGGCACTTCAGAGTTACCCTCCACAGGGAGGGCAGCTTTGCTATGCAGAAAACACCTCAGACAGAAACACAACAGACTTCAGACATTACACAACATAAGTGTCCACTAGGTGGGGTGGTAGGGTTTGGGACTCTCCACACATCAGTACATGCAGCCGCGATAAGCAGTGCTCATCACCTCCATTTAGTCTATTTAATTTCTGACTATATAAAACAATTTCTTCGGTTTTAAAGTGTGAAGCAAACTCGGACGGAGTAAAATCCAAACCGATCCCGTTCATTTTGTTTACCTTTGTTGCCTGCCAACATGGCGTCTACTCTCTGAGAGTCACGTGACGTCCGGAGCTCTATTGGATATATCTGAATCTCCGTCTTTCACTGCTGTCATGATCTCTCTGTACTCGCCGACGCTTCCGTTTTGGGGGTTCGTGAGTGCGCTCCACGCGGTCAGAACAGTACTAAAGTCCCGCCTCCTAGTTTGACAGCAACGAGCAGCTTTCTCCAGTTTATGCAAGATTGAAACTTCAAATGAGAGCCTGTTAATAAGGCTAGACACGAGTTTCAATTTGTGGAACACGTGAAAAGTAATGAAAATGCAGGAACTGTCCCGCACAAAGGGGGAATCTCGTCACCCTCCGAGTCAGGACTTACCGCTGTAGCAAACAAAGACTTTCTCTGCGTCACACATCCAGTCCTCCCAGCCTCCAGGGCCTTTGAAGCCTGCTGCCACACATCCTCTTATCCCACCTGCAGGATATTTTTTATTCCAAGAGGTATACGACATGGTGCTGTCATCTGACCACCTCCAGTTGTTTCTGTACAGACCGAACCAGGCTCCTGAACTTTGTACCAGCGTCATCAGCCTCTGGTTCTCGGACAGGTTCCTCACGCTGGCCAGGTCTGTGTGATACTGTCTGCAGTAGCTCTGAGCCTGAAACCAGGTCATGGTGGTGCTGATGAGGTAAAATGTTGCATTTCTCCCTGAAAACAGAAAAGCTGTCACATTTAACAGAGCTCAAAACTAGGGATGTTCGATATTATTGATCTACCATTAATATCAGCCGATACCAGCATTAAAATTTAATAAAGATAATATTAAAATACCGTTATCAGTTTTCAGTCTTTGAATGACTTTTACATACCCTACACCTGTTAAACCAAAAACTTCAGCTACTTCTCCCCTCTCTCAAAATGTTAAAATATGGCAGATCTGAGATACAAATGTTTGAATATTATAGTTTTTGGCACAACTTGTGAGGTAGAAATTTGCCCTGAGTAGCGAACGTACGCCATCCTCACAGCACGTTTAGCTAGCCAGCTAACAAACAACTAAAACACGAATCTTCACCCAGAACTGCCTTTCTTATCTCTGGGTCTTTATAAATGTTTTATCACCATAGCTAACATGCGGAAAAAGGTCAAGCATGAATGATAGGAGATTTGTGATGTTCGACCTAAAATGTTTTATGAGAGGGGACACGGCATATATCGGTATCGGTTAATATCAGTGTCGGAATTAAGAGTCAGACAATATCTGTATATCGGATATTGGAAAAAAAAAGATTCGTGATAAACGACCTGCACTTGTACAGAACCTTTCTGAGTCCTAGGACTCCAAAGTGCTTTACACTACGGCACGAAAGCAGACAGGTGTCTCTGCTCAAAACAAATCTCACATCGGAAAAAAAGTATACAAAACAGGGACAGAAAGATTCAAGAACAGCTTCTTCCCCAGAGCAATCATCGCTGCGAACAACTCACAGAAGGTTTAGGGAGGATCTTGTGCAATATACATAAGTCAGTACAATATACAATTTACATAAATGCAATATACATACGCAATATATCATGCCTTGGACGATATGTCACCCATTTCCTTTGACTGTAGCTCTTCTTATTTATGTTTATTACATTATTTTTCTTTATTTTTCTTATGTTTATTACATTATTGTATTCGGCACCAAGGGAGTAGCACTCCAATTTCGTTGTACTCTGTACAATGACAGTAAAGGCGATTCAAAAGTTAGCTTGTTCAAATAAAATAGAAACGTTTGTGAGTGATCAAAAGCAGAAAGAAAGAGTTGGTCTTTGCATGTTTGTTTAATCTTAATTCCTACTAAATGTATAGTTTTGTAAATTAGAAAAATGTATCAATCATTAATTGTTTATTATTGCTATTCTCTGATAAAACTCAGAACACAACATTAAAGGGACAAAGTGTAGTGTTTACCATTAATCTTTGGAAACAGCCATTAAAATATTGTTGTAAATTAATCAAATGATGCCCAGTTGTTGAAAAATATTGGTGGTTTTATAACATAGGACCATAAAAATCTGTTATAAAATACATGTGAGCGGGCTATGGGTGTTTCTCACTGTCAAGGCGCCTGACCTGGCAAGGTGATGTCTGGCGAGGCCAGGCGCCTTGCTTACGAGGACATGTCCTTCCTTCATCAAAGAAAACGGTTAAATGGAACAGACTTGCATCACATGACCGCGGCTTCCACGGCGGTCACGTAACGTCACGTGACACGTGAGGTAACGTTACATTTTATACGTATATGTTTCAATTCACTTTTTACATTTTGTATAGGGTTAGGGTTAGTCACTTTAATAAGGTTCAAATATCCTGAGTAATGTGTTAATGTTTGAGACTCTTATTGTGAAGGATTAAAGGAAGTTCTGGGTTCTTCTGTAGACGCTGCTATGGAAGCAGCAAAGCCATTCAGTAGCTTCTTGCATCAATGAATGGCCTCAATATTTATAGTTTAGTCTGTAAAAGCACACTCTAATCCTCAATAATAATAACAATAGTAATAGTAATAATAGTAATAGTAATGGTAATAATAATAATAATAATAATAATAATAATAATAATAATAATAACAACAATGTAATAAAAATTATAATGATAATAGTAATAATAATAATCACAACAGTAACAATAATAATAATAATATTAATAATAACAGTAATAGTAATAATAATAATAATAATAATAATAATAACAGTAATAGTAATAATAACAACAACAATAGTAATAATAATAATAATAATGATAATAATAATAATAATAATAATAATAATAACAGTAATAATAATAATAATAATAATAATAATAATAATAATAATAATAATAATAATAATAATAATAATAATAATAATAATAATAATAATAATAAGTCCTGCAAAGTTCAACCCCCACCTCCATGTGGTGCAGGACGGGCAAGATAGGCATGACAAGCCAGTCATGTCTCGGCTAATGGGGCTCTGACAACATTTCACTATGATGAGTCAAACAATCAGAAAATCATACCGCATCACTCGTCGCGCGGGTCAACAAGGAGCGCGTCATTCAGCAGGGGACCAGGCTGATGGCGAAAAGTGTGCTACTGGAACAAACTCCACCCACCCCCAGGTATCTGTGGACCAGCTATCCGAAGTGTTCCTTCAACCAGCCGCCCATGATGTAAAACTTACCACAAATGAAAACTAAAGTAAAAGGAAGAAATGGACAAGGGAGGAGTATAAACAAGTTATGGAAGCGTACATCACAGCTCAACTAAAACCATCAGGAGAGAGCAACACTAAACAAACCTTTACTCTATGGAGAACCCCACATCAAGACCCAACATGGACCCCAACAAACTGTCCAATGTAAGAAGGGACATCATCAAACAGAAAAGACTTACAGATGCAGAGGTGGAAGCTATCAGGAGAAAGGTCAGACATACTGTAGAAGGAAATGAAAACACAGTGGAAGACGGCAGACCTGATGAACAGGAAGATAAAATCAGGAATGAAGAAGACCAACCTCAGCAGCAAGAAGTAGATGGAATGACTGAAGAGGGTACCAACAGAACATATGAAGAACACACAGACTTTGAAAAAGTCCGAGATAGCATACTCCAGAAATGGATGGAAGTAAAACTCCAAGGGCTGGAGAATCGAGACAAGCTGCCTAAGATATATAGCAACAAAAATACCAAGAACCTCATCAGCCTAGCCAACAGAGCAATACAAAACATCAAACAAGACTCGTCTAAACCAATGGACCTCACATCAATTAATGAAATATGTTATGCAGCAGCTACAGCAATCACAGACCTGAGTTGTGCCAAGAAAATAAAAAAACAAGGAAAAAGAAAACAACCCAAATGGCAGACAGACATCGAGAAGGACATTCTCAAGAACAGAAAAAATCTCTCTCTACTCACAGAAATGGATAAAGGTAACATTACTAATAAAAGAAAAAAGAGGCAAATGAAGAAGAGGTATGACATCCAGGACACAACTGACATTGTGGAAGCAAAAGAAAAGCTCAAACAACAGATACAGGCAAAGGCACAAAGAATCAGAAGATATGAAAAGAGAAGTAAGCACTTCAGACACAACCATGTTTTTAAAGTTGACCCAAAGAAGTTCTACAGAGAACTTGACAAGAAACAGATAGAAATCAAAGAACTACCATCTCTGGAAAAAGTAGAAGAGTTCTGGAGCAATGTTTGGGAAAAACAGAAGAACCACAATGAGACAGCACAATGGATCAAAGAAGAAGCAGGAAGATTGAAGAGCCGACCAGTACAGGAGTGGACAAGCATCAGCAAGACAGAAGCAATACTGGCACTAAAGATAGCAAATAATTGGAAGTCACCTGGAGAAGACAAAGTACATAACTTCTGGCTTAAACATCTTGAAGTCATACATGAAGATCTTGCAAGAGAATACACAGAAATCATTAAAACACCAATAAAGAGCCCAACCTGGCTAACACAGGGTCTAACATATCTGCTACCCAAGACCAATGACACAAAAAACTCTAAGAATTACAGACCAGTCACATGCTTACCAACGATGTACAAGATCCTCACAAGTATCATCACAGAGAGAACAAACACCTTCCTCGACAACAACAACATGCTACCACCAGAACAAAAAGGCTGTAAGAGAGGTAGTTATGGAAGCGAAGACCAACTCCTGATCAACAAGATGATACTGGAAGACAGCAAGGGGAAGAAGAAAAACCTGAGTACAGCATGGATAGACTACAGGAAAGCCTTCGACAGCATACCACACTCATGGATCATCAAAGTAATGGAACTTCATAGAATCTCACCAACTCTCATTACCTTCATGAAGACAAGTATGGAATCATGGAGGACCACTATGATGCTCACTTATGACGAAAGATCCATCAAGACAAGACCAATAAAAGTGAGGTGTGGTATCTTTCAAGGAGACTCACTATCACCTCTCCTTTTCTGTCTATATCTAGCCCCACTCAGCACCATGCTAAACAACAGTGAACATGGCTAAGAGGTTCAAGGCAAGAAGATCAACCACCTTTTTTACATGGATGATCTGAAGACCTATGCCAAAAATGATAACCAACAAGAAGGACTACTGCAAATAGTCAAGCTCTTCAGTGATGGCATCTGCATGCAATTTGGACTTGACAAATGTGCAAAGGTTACATTCAAAAAAGGAAAACTCACATCAACATCAAACATACAATTTGACCAAGAGACTGTCATAATGGAGCTCAATCAAGAGGATACATACAAATATCTTGCGGTTAATGAAGGAGATGGAATACAACATGCGACCATGAAAGAAAAAGTAAAAAAAGAGTACTACAGAAGAGTTAGGCTTGTTATCAAGAGTGAACTCAATGCTGCAAATAAGATCAAAGCCATCAACATTTTAGCTGTTCCAACGGTTACATACAGTTTTAACATCATCAACTGGCAACTTAAAGAAGTAAAGAAACTAGACACCAAGACCAGAAAATTGCTGACTTCTGAAAGAATGCACCACCCAAAAGTGGATGTTGAAAGAATGTATCTACCAAGACAGATTGGAGGCAGAGGACTTACCCAACTTGAGATGGCTTACAAAACAACAACAACGGCATTGAAAACCTACCTTGAAACAACAGACGATGCCCTACTGATCCTCGTTTGTCAACATGAAGTTCGAAAGAAGCTGTACTCTGTTACAAAAGAAGCTATATGATATGCACAGGAACTAAACATCCCAGAGGTGGCAAGAATAGAGAAAGAAACAGTGACAAGCTTTGCCAAGAGGACCAGAAGGGAGGCAAAGAAATGGGCACAAAAAAGGATGAGAGAAACATGGGAGGAAAAACCAATGCATGGACAATACCCCTTGAGAGTAAAAAAAGCAGATGTAGAACAAGATCATACTCATCAGTGGCTACGCAGTGCAGGACTGAAGGCAGAAACTGAAGGATTGTTGATAGCAGCACAAGACCAGAGCCTGTCAACGAGATCATATCACCACAAGATCATTAAAGATGGAACAGACCCCATGTGTAGAATGTGCAGCCAATATGAAGAAACCATTGACCACATTCTCTCAGGCTGCCCCACTCTAGCCAGAACTGAGTACATCCACTGACACGACAGGGCAGCAAGCTATATCCACTGGAAGATCTGCAAGCATTCCCATCTACCAGCTGCAGATAAGTGGTATGAACACCAACCACCAACAGTGACTGAAAACAACAACATCGCAGTGTTGTGGGACATGCCAATCAACACAGACAGAGAAATCATGGCCAACAGACCAGACATAGTCATCAAAAACAAAGAAGAGAAGACCTGCCTCATGACTGATATGACCATCCCATCTGAAAAAAATTTCACCACCAAGGAGCTTGAAAAGCTATCAAAGTACAAGGACCTGGAAATAGAAGTCACAAGACTGTGGGGGATGAAGACAACAACAATACCCGTCGTAGTGGGCGCACTTGGCCTCATCAAGAAGGGACTGGAAAAGAGAACAAAACAGATTCCTGGAAACCCAACAGTCCAAGAAATCCAGAAGATTGTTCTTCTCGGAAGTGTCCACATCATCAGAAGGACGCTTTCCATAAACTAACCCTGAAACTGCCTTAGAAGCATGGATTGATTCTGGCACTTCAGTGAAAGCATACAAATATACAAAAAAATAAATAAAAATAAAATAATAATAATAATAATAACAGTAATAGTAATAATAATAATAACAATAATAATAATAATAATAATAACAATAATAACAGCAATAGTAATAATAATAATAGTAATAATAATAATAATAATAATAAAAACCAGACAAAATATGGTCAGCTTCTGTAGTTATGAGAGATATTTTCAACATCTTTATAATCAACTCTTATTGTATTATTTTTCTTTAAAGCAGCACTGATGCTCCTCACCACTGACATCCATGCAGACTGATGGTAAGTTCAGAGCACATGAAGCATCGGTCCAGGCTCCACTGTATGAACCGGAGAATACTGCGCAGGCCTCGTCTCCACCACTATTATCTGGTTGTGAGGGATACCAGTTCCTGAAGCTGTCGTTCTGTTGGTAGAAGTTGGTGTCTGACATGGACCACCTCCAGCTGTTAAGATCACTGTAGAGTCCAATCCAGGCTTCCTGAAAACACAAACGTTTGTTTCCTCATTACAAACAGCTTCAATGTTCAGACTCAACTGTATTTACATTTGCACGACTTCTGTGTGAGTCACCAAGAAGATGAAGGTAAAAAGCTAAATAAACCACAAAATTTGTTATTTTTCTCTACAGAACGGCTTGAAGCATAATAGCCCTACACACACCAGGGGACACACTCCGGACCTTGTTTTCTCCCTGGGTCTAGGTGCTGTTTGTCCCGAGGATGTTAATATTTCAGATCATCGTTGCCTTTTCTTCATCTCGTCAGTTTCTGCATCTCCACCTCCTGCTCGTTGTTTAGTCAGTTCTTGTTTTCTTAATGAGAGCACATCTAGCAAATTTTCAGCTGATTTTAATCCCCATTTATCCTCTGATAATGACCCAGATTCTTTAACTATCAAATCAGTTCCTGCTGTAAACTACAGTCCTCAGATTGATGACAGCATTTGAAGCCTAGAGCGTCAGCAGAAAAAATCATGGAAGAAAATACGTCTCCATGTCCATCTGCTGCATCTGGTCAGGTCCCTGCTGATTTTAAAGTCTCATTCTGCAACTCTTACAGCCTAAATAAGGGTTTATTTAAAGTTTTTGCAGCATTCTATCACCTATTATGTTCATTTTCAGAGCTGTGATAGTGTTATGGGGTCCTATGTCTGTTTATCACACTAGTTTTTAACCCGCTGTCCGCTGCCGGAAGTACTGACGACTTTACGCCAGGATCACGTAGACCCTATAGACATGAATATGTAAATGCCCCATGACATTCAAAAACAATACAAAAACAAATCAGTGACCAGTATAGCCACCTTTCTTTGCAAGGACACTCAAAAGCCTGCCATCCATGGATTCGGTCAGTGTTTTGATCTGTTCACCATCAACATTGCGTGCAGCAGCAACCACAGCCTCCCAGACACGGTTCAGAGAGGTGTACCGTTTTCCCTCCTTGTAAATCTCACATTTGATGATGGACCACAGGTTCTCAATGGGGTTCAGATCAGGTGAACAAGGAGGCCATTTCATTAGTTTTTCTTCTTTTATACCCTTTCTTGCCAGCCACGCTGTGGAGTACTTGGAGCATTGTCCTGCATGGAAATCATGTTTTTCTTGAAGGATGCAGACTTCTTCCTGTACCACAGCTTGAAGAAGGTGTCTTCCAGAAACTGGCAGTAGGACTGGGAGTTGAGCTCGACTCCGTCCTCAACCCGAAAGGCCCCAGCAAGCTCATCTTTGATGATACCAGCCCAAACCAGTACTCCACCTCCACCTTGCTGGCGTCTGAGTCGGACTGGAGCTCTCTGCCCTTTACCAGTCCAGCCACGGGCCCATCCATCTGGCCCATCAAGACTCACTCTCATTTCATCAGTCCATAAAACCTTAGAAGAATCAGTCTGGAGATATTTCTTGGCCCAGTCTTGACGTTTCAGCTTGTGTGTCTTGTTCAGTGGTGGTCGTCTTTCAGCCTTTCTTACCTTGGCCATGTCTCTGAGTATTGCACACCTTGTGCTTTTGGGCACTCCAGTGATGTTGCAGCTCTGAACTATGGCCAAACTGGTGGCAAGTGGTATCTTGGCAGCTGCACGCTTGACTTTTCTCAGTTCATGGGCAGTTATTTTGCGCCTTGGTTTGTCCACACGCTTCTTGCGACCCTGTTGACTATCTTGAATAAAACGCTTGATTGTTCGATGATCACGCTTCAGAAGCTTTGCAGTTTTAAGACTGCTGCATCCCTCTGCAAGATATCTCACTGTTTTTGACCTTTCTGAGCCTGTCAAGTCCTTCTTTTGACCCTTTTTGCCAAAGGAAAGGAAGTTGCCTAATAATTATGCACACCTGATATAGGGTGTTGATGTCGTTAGACCACACCCCTTCTCATTACAGAGATGCACATCACCTAATATGCTTAATAGGTAGTAGGCTTTCGAGCCAATACAGCTTGGAGTAAGACAACATGCATGAAGAGGATGATGTGGACAAAATACTCATTTGCCTAATAATTCTGCACTCCCTGTAATCCTTTAAGCCCCATGAGACGAAGCTGCAGCTGTTCCACACCTGCTTAGACTCCATTAAACCTGGATGGTGGGAGCTTTCTTCAGCTGAATCAAGATAAGACTGAGATCCTCATCTGTGCCCCAGACAAGCTGGTTTCCAAAGTCAGAGACTCTCTTGGTCAGCTGACCTTTGACCCAGCTCTCACCCTGGACTCTCATGATGGTTCAGCAGCAGGGGAACACTCATCATGGCTTTAAGGTGACCTCCTGTTCATCCTCTTTCAGTCTATTTTTACATCGTTGTCTTTTTAAATTGTTTTTTATTTTTATTCTTGTGTAGCAACTTGTCTTCAGATATGCTTCATGATAAAATTTCACTTGCTGTATAAATCCTTTTATCTTTTCTAAGGTTCTCTTTATTAGCGGTACTTAGTGCATTTTTAAGCATTAAGACCCTTATGGTGAAGTGTTACCTCTCCTTTCTAGTAATTCAATAATAATAATAATGAAGATTAGCGCCTGGTCCTATGACAATAGAAAACAAACAAACAAAAACACACAGGATCAAATCCAATCAAAGGTAAAGGAGAACATACGTAGGTGTATGATGAGGCGAACATTTGGCGTAGATCCACCAGGCTGTACAGCAGCCACATGTCATTCACGTCCTCTACCGTCGCCAGGTCGATGAAGTTTTCTCTGCAGTACCTCTGAGCTTCGGTCCAGTTCTTAGCCTGATAAATAAAATGATAGTTCCTCTGAGGAACCGTAGAGACGGCACACAGAGCTGCAACCACACACGGTAAATAATCAGTCCAGTGGTTCACATCTAAACTAATAAACCAGGTTTAAAACAACAGCAGTGACGACGTTTCTAATTCTCTCACAGACGTGAATAATGAGCTTTTATAAAACACCTACCAGATGCAACAGAGAAGATCAGGAGAACCTTCTCCATCTTCCCAGGTTCTCGACGTTCTGCTTCTTCACTCCGAGACTCCGGAGGAGCTGAATGACTCTGATGTCTTACGTGAAGCTTGTTTCTTAATAATATTTGCATTATGGCCTAAACTAGGAAATCCGTGTTAATTGAAAAGTCAAAAAGATTCAAACTTTTATTTCCATGAACAATATCACTACAACCTGATGTCTGGGGAACAAAAGAGGGAGGATCCTATCTTACCTTTTCTCCCAGACCTACGAGAGCTGAGAGGATTAAAGGTGATCTTTTAGTATTTGTACTGGAGGACTCGAGCAGGGTGACGCTGAGATGTTCAGAGACTCGTACAATATCATGTACACGACGACTTGTTGCCATCTACTGTACTCGGACACTCTACAAAACATGAAACTGAACTTGGTTGGAGCTCAAAATGGCCCAGGAGCCCTGATAAAGGACTCCCCCCCCCCCCCCCCCCCCCCAATGGAAAGACCATCCAGCTGGTCTACCGTGACGGCTCCATGAGCTGCCTGAAGTAAAATAAAATACCTATAATAAAATAGAAAAATTCAAGAGGCGCACTGTGGCCATCGGTCTGGGTACTCTCTCTACAAGCTGGAAGGTTACAAAGGTGCTGCAACATTTTTACTTTGTTTTGACAAAAGCATGGGCTAGTGTTAGCATTAGCCCTTTAGCATCTCTATTCTTTGACAGAAAATCTCCAAGCGGGGTGGACGAGGAAGTGTGCAGCAGAGCAGTCGCAGGGAGGAGGATGGCTCCATCAGACAAGGCAGGACCTGACCCGACCCAGTGGGCCACTTCAGCCTCCTGGCCACTGGGAAATGTCCGGGTGCTCCCGATGGCCAGTCAGCCACTGGTTGGGACATGCAAATGTAAGGGTGTGTGTGTGTGTCTAAGCTTAAGATCATTTATCCCAATGAACCGTTTCTCCGTGGCCAGCGCATGACTAATTTACACAGGAAAGCAGGTCAGAGACGGAACAGCCTTTGGTGTGTTTTTTACGCCCAAGCTGCTCATCCTGACTCAGAGAAACCACCACAAGATGCCCGAGAGTTCAAATTTGCTTTAGTATAACAAGTTTTAGATCCATCCAACTCAATCTCCTGTGGAGGTTTTAATCCTTAATGTTTAAAACATTTTCACAATAATATAGAAAACTACAGATCAATACAGAAGCCATTAGGGTTCTATTAGGTTTGCAATAACGAGGACTCTAGGGACAGCTCCCAACCTGCCTGCTTTGACCAAACTCAAAAATCCGTTCCAGAGCTGCTCCTTTTAACTCTATCGTCTGAGTGATTACTCCAGCTCAGCCGGAGATCTCCTCTCACGCTCCGATCCTTCAACTTCTGCTTCAGCTGAAACACAAACAGTTACTGAAACTGATGAAAACACTCAGCGAAACTTGTTCCGTTCTAATCTGCAGAAGTTATTTTATTTTTCTCCTCACCAGCATGTTTTAAACGCTGAAGCTTAAAAAAAGGTAACCCTTTAGTTTAGGGAACACAAATTAACCATTAATTAGCTGCCAATTAATGTGCATATTAGTGGACTACTAAGTCTGAACTAGTCATTATTAAGCACTTAAGTTATTCCTAATGCTTTAATTCAAACTTTAACAGGTCATAAATTAAGAGTTTAATCAAAATAAGCCATTCATAATCAAATCAAACTTTATTTATGTAGCACTTTTCATGCATAGGATGCAACACAAAGTGCTTAAAATGACCCACATGACCCACTTTCCCTCCCTTCCCCACACTTAAAACAATTGTGATAGTTTCACCCCCAATCCACAAACCATTTCCACACACACACACACACACACACACACACACACACACACACACACACACACACACACACACACACACACACACACACACACACACACACACACACACACACACACACACACACACACACACACACACACACACACACACACACACACACACACACACACACACACACACACACACACACACACACACACACACACACACACACACACACACACACACACACACACACACACACACACACACACACACACACACACACACACACACACACACACACACACACACACACACACACACACACACACACACACACACACACACACACACACACACACACACACACACACACACACACACACACACACACACACACACACACACACACACACACACACACACACACACACACACACACACACACACACACACACACACACACACACACACACACACACACACACACACACACACACACACACACACACACACACACACACACACACACACACACACACACACACACACACACACACTAGGCTGAGCTCAGATTGGACAGGTAATGAAAGACACGCCATCAAGGGAGCCATCTGCCTCGACAGCGTTGATCCCACGGTGGGGAAGTTTGTGCATTGCCATAGCTCAGGATAGATAGCAAAAGAGTACAAATGTGACCAAAAATACGTGTTTTGATGCAGGGAAACAACAAAAACATCCTGGATAGCAGCGCTTGAGGAACAGGATTGCCTACGCCTGTCCCAACCCACAAACACAACACAAAATGGAAGACATGGTGGTGATGTAGAACATGCTGTTTAACGTGGCTTTTTCTCTGAACACGGAAAAGTGTGGACAGCAGGCGGAAAGCTCTGGAACGATCAGCGGCTCCACTGCCGACAACCTCTGACCTTTTGTTTGCAGCTTGACTTGGTACACTTGGAACGAAACAGGGACAGACAGGGAAGACAACCACGGAACGCCACTGATGGAAATTAGGACAGCAGCATCTCAGGAGGCAGAGCGGGTTGTCCAGTAATTGGAAGGTTGCAGGTTCGATCCTGGCTCTGACCAGAGAATGCTGCTGTTGTGCCCTTGGGCAAGACGGTTAACCCAGCTTGCCTGCTAGTGGTCGGAGGGTGGCGCCTGTGTTTGGCAGGCCTCTATCAGTGTGCCCCAGGGCAGCTGTGGCTACATCGTAGCTCATCACCACCAGCATGTGAATGACTGTATTGTAAAGCACCTTGGGGGGTTGTAGAACCCTTAAGTTTGGTTTATGCTTGACGCATTGACTTTCCGCGCGGTGATGCGGCTCGCGGATGGAACGTGCTTCACAACTTGCAGCGTTTATGGTTCATGCGGCTCGTCTCTGCGGGGAGCCAATATTCTCCCAGACTGTAGGGGGCAGCATGGAGCTCTACGGCATGCATCCAACACTACACCTTAGTAGAAGTAGAAATGACTGTTTACAACATGGCATTTCAGCATTTTTTAACAGCGTCCTCGTCTTTTCCGACAGTGTGAGCTATTTCTCTCCAAGAATTATTAACAACATGTTGATCACGGTGATCTTTGAGAGCTGAATCATACAAATGTCTGTATTTACGAACCTCTGCCGTACTAGTTCTTGCCAGTCCACCATGTTTTTCCGCGTCCGACCGTCCGCGTGGTTAGAAAATTTCCTAGGTGCGCGGTGCTGTAAGTTTGGGCCGTGCGGAGGCGCGGTGGAGGGGCGTGGTTGTTAAAATGACGCAATTTAGCTGCGCGGAGCCGTGCGGACCTCGCGGACGTGTCAGGCATAAACCAACCTTAAGAAGCCAAAGCCCTCTAACTGGACCGAATCAATCTGAGTCACTCCGAGTAGGTACTGATGGAAAAGCTCCATTTGCGTCTATCCAGATGTTTTCCAGATGGACTCGGGAAGGCCTTCGTCTCGGTTTTATGTTAAAATTACTGTTTTCTTTCTAAGATTTTACAAAAGGTTTATGGAAATACCTTTTTTAAAATGATCGCTGTACTCGTGTCTTTTGGTTTGTTTCTAATGTGAAACCCTGAACATTTCTGGGACTTTCAGCCGTAAAGATCTAAACCAGACCTAAAGTGTGGATGGTGGCTCACCGCCGTAGCAGACAATTGCTCTCTTCTGGTCACAGGTCCCGTCCATCCACTTCCCAGCACATCCAAAGTCTGCTGCAACGCAGTTCTCTGTGCCACCATTGGGTTCGTTGCTATTCCAGAACCTAGAGGAGGAGCTGCTTCCATCCGACCACTTCCAGGTGTCTGTACAGACCGATCCAGACCAGAATAGTAGATGGTATCATCACCTTCAGCTTCTGGACCTCTGACAGGTTCCTCACACTGGCCAGGTCTGTGTGCTGCTGTCAGCCGTGCTCCTGCAGTTTATTTATGAAGCACCATTTCAAAATAGCATGGCAGCTAACCAAAGTGCTGTACATAAAAGAGCCAAATGCTCGAACAAATCAACAAAACACTCCTCCTCCTCCTCCTCCTCCCCCCTGCCGAGGAGCACAGCTGAGCTGAATCCCTCTGACAACCCACACCTGGGATGAAAAGGCTGTGCCTTCAGCGGTGCAGGGGTCCTGCTGTCCTCCAGGCCTGGTTTTGGGTCAGGGTTCTGGTGGATGTCAACTTAGTTGACTGAGTTTTAAGGTTAACTCTGTTCTGGTTTTAAGAGCTTTGTGGATTTTTAAAACGTCTTCAGTTCCTGTAAAACTTTTAACCAGTTTCATCAGTGAACGTTTTAACCAGGTGTTGTGACTGTGTCTTTGAACCGTTTACCCTTTAGAGAATCTTCTAGTTTTGTTTGCGCTTGTTTTAAAACCTTTTATGACAATTAAACACTTTTAGTTCCACCGTTCCAAGTTCTTTTGCTACCCCCTCCGTCACATTTTGACGGCACATGTCGGAGTTGTAACAGCAGGCATAAAGATGCAAAAAATAAAACAGGAGTTGTTGTTTTCATTTAGAGTAAACGTTTAAGGGTCAAAGGGAATTATTAATGACACCAAGTTACTTTTTCATATATTTAAAGCAGTTTCTTGAGCCAGAAGGTAATAAAGTGACTTTTTACAGGTGAGCGGAAAGCGGCTCACCTAAAACGTGTCTTCATGTGAAATCTGAGGCCCATTTCCAGCAAGATCACAACATATTTTTTATGACTAAGGCGCTCTTTGCCTTTAGCTGATGTAGGTTTTTAACACGGCCGGTACGACAGTGGTTCCCAACCTTTCTACCACAGGGACCCACCTTGCCTGTGTCTAAGAGCAGCCATGTATGGGGACCCCCTCGAGGGGCCACGGCCCTCAGATTGGGAACCCAAGATCAATCAAACCAGAGAGGGAAAGGTGATCATACATAGCTGCTGGAGATCATCTGGTTCAAATCTGCCGTGATGTTCAGCATCTCCACACCCTCCAGGTCCTCCACAGTGGCCAGGTCTGTGTACGTCGGTCTGCAGTAACTCTCAGCTTCAGTCCAGCTCTTCGTCTTGTAAATAAAAACGTGTTTATGTGCAGGAAGAGATGAGGCAGCGCACAGAGCTGCAGACACACAAACGCACACATACACTGATGCATATGGTTGTTTTGCTTCAGTGTGAGGCGACCTGGCGGTGAATCATCAACATGAACATTTAAACACTTACCTCGTGCAGCGGTGAAGAACAGGAGAACGTTCTCCGTCCCTGTTCTGGTTCTTCACTCTGTCCAGAGGAGCTGCTGCGTGAACACCATTAATTCAACGTCGCTTGATTCGGAATATTATTTGCATTTTTCCTCCACATCCTAATCCACCGACAAGTCAAGACGATTTATTTACATGGACAAGGTCACAAAAGCGGTTTCACGTCAGGAGGCTGAAGACAAGTCTGTCAACTCATTCTTAAACGGCCATAAAGATGTTTTTTAATCCGAGCTAAGATGAAACTGGGTAAAACGAGTAACTGGTCATTCTAAAACTGAGCAGCAGTTTAAATGCAAATGTCGCACATTCAGCAGCTGATTTTTATGGTCATTATGGGAATTTTCTCTTCCCATGCAGCATTTTTCTTGTGGGCGGGGCCATCCTCCTGCGAGCAGACACACCTGATGCTTGTCAGCTCGTTACCTGCAGGCTCCAGAACCCCTCAGCTGCTGCGCCTGACCCAAAGAACCAGGTTTATTCCAACCAAGCGAATAATTTCCTCTGGTCTTAGATTTAGAACAAACCCCACAACTCACCCTGGTGATCGCATCTCAGCTCCTGTAAATCACCTGAAGAAGAAAAAGAAATTATTTTTTGTAAAGGACCTCTCGAGATAAGAGTCAGGAGGAGCTTCACAAGCAACAATTAACAAATGTCATTGAGATCATATGAAAAATGGGAAAAAAGAAATATTAGGAGAAGAATAAATGACCCCTACCTAACGCTGGTGCTGCTTCAAATGGAATCCATTATAATCTGATTCAAACCAGCAGCGACGCCGCGCCGCGCCGCTAAAGATGAGACTGGGTTCTATTTTTGCCACGTGCGGCTTCAGTTTCTGAGGTTAAATCTGACTAGACAGGAAATCAAACAGTTTCGGCTTCTGGTAACTTTCACAATAAAAGACTATTGCAGCGATGAAATTTCATACGGATGTAGTTTACATCCAAACATGTGACCTCACAGCTCCTCTTCCCCAGCATCGTTCCTGAGGTGCAGCGGTGTTTACACGGCTTTAATCCTGCCAGTGGAGATGAACACGGTGGCACAGGAGTTAAGTGCTCGCCCCGTAATCAGAAGGTTGCAGGTTCGAGTCCCGCTGTCGTTGCGTCCTTGGGCAAGACACTTAACCCACGTTGCCTGCTGGTGGTGGTCGGAGGGACCGGTGGCGCCAGTGCTCGGCAGCCTCGCCTCTGTCAGCGCGCCCCAGGGCAGCTGTGGCTACATCGTAGCTCATCCTCACCAGTGTGTGAATGTGTGTGTGAATGGGTGAACGACTGATTGTGTTGTAAAGCGCCTTGGGGGGTTCCAGGACTCTAGAAGGCGCTATATCAAATACAGGCCATTAATCACTTTTACCAACATCATCATTTATGACATCAAACAGCAAATCTAACGTGATTTCCTTCGTTCAGGTTTACTGGTGGATGCCATAAACAAACTGAAGGATTTGGTGATCTCACCAGTTAAGCGAGGAGCATGGCTGAGATTGTCCTGGTGCTGGCACGCAGCGATGGACGCTACTGGTTCAGTTGTGTTGCTGCTCGCCTGCACAGTCACCTAGTTTGTTTATATTTTATTGGTCAGAGATTGCTGAGGTCAGCGTCTAAATTCAGGGTAAGGAGATCCGGCAGGGAACCAGAATGCAAACGTTTGTTTAAGTAAGGAGCTAAAACGGGTATAAGCAACATCTGGAAGCGTGACAGACCGGTAGAAATCCACAGGGGGGGGTGTGAGGAGTTAACGGGCACTGAGGGAAAACACCAGGAAATGAAGAAGGCTGGTAGGAATAACAAAGATATCCCGTTAAACTGAAATAAAGACCAGAGCATAAGAGAGAGTGTTAGGACAGAACGTAAGGCACAAACATAAACGAAGACCTAAATAATCCTAATGAAGCTAAACTGAACACAAAGACCAACGTCTTACCTGAGGGACAAACTAAGCATGAAAATGAAGGACAAAAAAATATCCAAAAACAGCTCCGAGAAGGGTCAAAGGTTACAGACACAGCAGGAAGCTAAACAAACCGACTGGAGAAAAACTACAAAAACTACAGAGAAAGGAGAAAGGGACGACTGGGGACAAGGAATAGGACAAATCACAGGGAGGGACAAAACATGGAGGAGACTGCGAAGACACGCGACACAGGAGGACATATTTTCTATATTTGAACTAAAATGAAAACAGAGCTGGTCTATAGATGATCTTGTTACCATAAGCTGCTCAGACCGGCTTGATGTTTTTCTCATTCGTGTGTTTTTACTTTTTCATCTTAGATCGTCCTCGGGTTTAAAGAGCATCATGGCATCCTCAGCGGATTCCTCTCAGTGTTTCAGTCTCGCGGCGAATCAGGAAGCTCCAAACTGCATTTAGAAGGAGGAGCATCTCCTGTCTACAGGATGCGTCTCTGCCAAAAGTGCCTCCTTTTGGACCAAATTTACAATATTTTCTCCTCCTTGTACTTCCTGACACACACGCTCTTACGTGTCTCCACAGTCACGAGAATACGCTGTTGTGTTTATCTGTTGGCTGTGAACCACTTCCCACAAAATCTCACTGCAGACTAGTTGGCCCGAGTCCAAAGGGGCATGAAGGATGACCGGGCCGTAGCTGAGAAAGCATCTTGTGACCAGCGTGGCACCAAACATGGACGCACGTGCTACTACTCCAAATCCAGCCTTCAGTTTGCATCACACACACAATAATTCATGTGACCCTTACTGGTGACATGTTGGAGAAGCTGGCAAGGCTGAGTGATGAGGAGGAGGCGGCGTGGGTTCCTCTTCCTCATTTAACTCAAATGTAACGTCGCTAACAGTGGAGTTGTCTGAGGAGAAGAGTGCTTCGGGGTCGAGGGTCATCCAGATGATGAAAATGCTACATCATGCTCTTGAACACCTTAAGCGACGACTCCTTTAAGCGTTTTGACGCCACCAAAGCAGACGCCAGACTTAAACAGCTCGGTTCGTGTGGGTCTCAGCCCCAAGCTGGACCTTCTTCACAGCAGTTACCGGCACCAACTTCAGGCGTGTGAGACAAAAACTTCATCTTTTCGTTTGCCAGGTAACCTGTGGCAGAAGCTGGATGAGGAAGTTGGCAGGCAGAACACCACCGCCACAGCCAGCTCCACCCCTGAGGTTCGGAGACACCTGGCAGAAAGGAACAGTCCCAGATCCCAGGATGCTGGGGTCCTATTGGGAGACCAGACACGCACGTCCAAACCTCTTCAGCTGGTCATTGCTGCTCTTGTGCTGTCCAGCTTCATCCGTCCCATCTGGGCGTGAGATCTCCAAAGCTGGAGAAACGGCATCTAAAAGTGATGAAACCTTAGAGAAACGGATCTTTTTCAAATCAAATCAACTCAACTGTATCTATAAAGTGTTTTCACATGCCCAAAGCGGACAAATAAAGCGCTGTACACCAATAAAAAAAATAAACAATAAATAAATAAACAGCAATAAAACAAACATATAACCATTAAAAGAACAATAAGAATTCCCGAGTACAGTTTCGCAATCCAGATCAGTCCTGTTTCCAGAATCAGATCCAGAAACAGTCAAAGTGACGCTGCCCACCCAATCCCAACTTCAATGTCCAAACGCCATCGAGAACAGACGGGTTTTAGTCGGCTGTTAAAGCTCTCAAGTGATTGGGCCTGCTTCACATCGGCCTCGGTCTGAGCACTGAGAAGGCACGGCTCCCACGAGACTTCAAGCTGTACTTGGACACAGTTAGTAGTCTCTGGTCAGCTGACCTAAGGGAATGCACCGGGACATGCCGGTGGATGATGTCTGACAGGTATTTCGGTGCCGCCCAGTTTAACGCCTTAAACACAAACAGGATTACCTTAAGCCTGATGCGATAGGAGAGATTTTTTATTGAAAAAAGCCAACAGCCTGCCTCAAAGACAAGTCCACAAGCAAGTTGTGACACGTGTGAAGTTTAAGCCAAGGATGTTTTAAATTTGGATAACATATTAAATAATACGATCTACAATGTGAAATACGTTTACCTTAAATGATTTTATTGTTTTCCAGGTCACTGAATCAGTATGACCACTGACTCTCCTTAGTGTGTCTGCAATACTGTTGAGGATCCAGCAGGAGTCAGTAGAGCAACACAGTATCAAGAATGTGCCATTCACAGGCCTCATCTCTCCATCACGAGCATGCTCTTTCACCACGTCCTTAAATCTCTCAGCCTCCTGTCTGGTGGCTCCATCCTCAGCATCCTTCTACCTAGAAATCAGGGGAGCCCAATCCTGGTCCTGGAGGGCCAGTACCTAGCAGGTTTTAGTTTTAACCTGCTTCCACATGCCTGATTTCTGTCAGCAGGTGATTAACAGGCGTCTGCAGAGCCTGATGAGCTGCTGCAACCCTCCCACTGTCCTAATGGGTGTGACCCCGCGAGGCAGGGGTGAGGAGTGAGCACCACCTCACCCCTGCCTCGTGGACCTCAAGGGATGAACCATCAATCCTGCTCAGTGGTCAACTTTCCTCTCGGGGTCACCCATTAGGACAGTGAGATGTGTTGGAGAAGAGAAACCGCAAAACCTGGTGGATACCAGCGCTCCAGGACCAGAAATGGGCACCGCTGCTATAAATCATGGTCTCTTCTCTGGACCTGTCCAAACCATCTCAGTCTGTCCTCTCTGACTTTATCTGCTAAACTTCATGAGTCCATCCCTCTGATGGACTCATTCCTCATTCTATCTATCCCCACAAAACTCTGAGGGAGCATCCTGCTGCTGTTGGCTCGAGTCACTAGAGTCCTGCTTGTAGCTTCGTAGGATGATGTCATTTTTTTCATGTCCTTATCTCAGATTTTTGAGGAAATGTATCTTCATAATCCTCGTGTTTGGTCTGATAAAGCTGCTTCAAACTGGAAACCTTTATCATAGAAATGGTCTCTAGGCACATGGTCTGGTGCTGGATGGAGGAAGAATAAAAGCAAACTGTTCTGCCCGTTCATCTTTAAACAATCTAATTTCAATGTCCAGAATTTTGGAACACGCCAGTTTATCGCATTCGAGGAGAAATCCATAAACAAGCTGCTCCTAAGTGAAAGTAAAGCTGAAGCAGGTGAGCAGCGGTGATGAAGCGACATTATCTCCAAACAGAGCTAAAGTCTGAATAGTAACTCACAGCTGTAGCAGACGAACGCCCCCCAGTTCCAGTCCTTCTATGCTCCAGTGTGTGCAAAGTTTGCTGCTGCATGCATCTCTGTACAATTCACATTATTGGGTTCTCCGCTCCTCCAGAACCTAAATGAGGAGTTGCTTCCATCCGACCACTTTCAGGTGTCTCTGTACAGACCGATCCAGGTCTTGTCCTGATGGGATCAGCGGCTTCACCTTCTGGTTCTCTGGCAGGTTCCTCACACTGGCCAGGTCTGTGTGGTGCTTTCTGCAGAAGCTCTGAGCATCGGTCCAGTTCATTTTGGCGCTGATGAAGACAAATGCTGCATTCAGCCCTGAATTAGACAAATTAACAAAGAAATGGTTCAACTTTAAAGCCATCAACAGCACAGGTGAAATGGCAAATCTATGATTTTACCAATAAACATACAGTTAAACATCTCAAAGCTTCATGTTGTTCTGGAATGATGGAAATCCTCGCCGCACCCATCAAAGCAGGCTGTGTTATGCGTTGTAAAACAAGATCTATCAGACCGAGATCCATCACTGGTCCTCACTTCACAGCTCTGTTTTCTGGCATAATTGTTTGGTTCTACAGTTAACCAGGAATGGAACGCCATCTCCTCCTGTTGGTAGAAGCTTGGGTCTGACATCGACCACCTCCAGCTCGCTACATCATCATACACTCCGTTTCAGGCCTGCTGGAAACCCAAGTGTAATTAGTTGTTCCTCAATACAAACAGGGTGCAGTTCCATTGTTAAAACTGTTGTTTAAACATTTGCATGACTGTCACGACTCCTGAGCTCATTTAAAAGAAATGTAACTCATCCTGGTTCAGGACCCTGGACAGCGCCCTCCTGCTCTTGCCCCTGTTCAGGGGATCAGCACCACGGAGAGGGGCACGCTGAGACTCCTCACCTGCCTGCCTGCCTGCAGACACCAGCTGCACCCGATCAGCCCTCATGCCTCTACAAGAGGGAGCCGCTGCAGCTCACTCGAGGAGCTTCAGGAGGGGACAGAAAGGAGCCAAGAGGGAGGCAGTAACAAGGAGAAGGCCGACAACAACGAGAGAGGAGAGAACAACAGAGGGTTACAACAAAGACTATGACCAAAAGAAAAGAAGGGAGGAGCACTGGGAGAGGAAAGGAAACTGGTTCCAAGTGACAGAGGGAGGGAGGGAAGACTTCTCTATCCACCACCTTCAGCCTGCCACTGATAAATTCTGAACTGCCAGGAAAGGATCACCTGGAGACACTGGGAAAAAGGAGAGAGTGAGATACGGCTCCTTGCTGAGCCGTAGTTGCTGGACTGATCTTTTTATTATTCCTTTAGGATTAGATTACTAAATTGGTTCTCTGCCCTTTTGTTGAGTTTGCCATTTCAGAGTTTATTTACAGAGACATCTTTTGTTAATAAAGTTTGTGTACGATAATACCTAGTCCCCCAGTTTTGCTCCCACCCCACTTGTGTTGTCCCTCCTGGTCATTCCTAGAACTGGAGGGGTGTAACAATGACTCTGCCAGGTGATGATGGTGTTGAGAAACAGAAAACATGCAGGTGGAGGTCCTTCAGGACCAGGATTGAGAAGCCCTGGTTAGGGCTGGGCGATGTCTCAGTAAGGTTTATATCAGCGGTGCCCATTCCTGGTCCTGGAGGGCCGGCATCCAGCAGGTTTTGTGGTTTCTCTGCTCCAACACACTTAATTCACTGGTTGAATCACCTGTGCAGCTGCTCACCAGGCTCTGCAGAAAACACAATTAGAAAAGCTGAAATATTTAACTTTTGTAAAGAATTTTTTTAATTCAGTTACTCCAAAGTGAAATTTTCCTCATTTTAATATTGATTTTCATATTAAGATGAAAATGGAGCAGAAAAAAGGTAAAGGAAATTGGGACAATATTGTTGAAAGATTAGTATTCATGAAATGTCCGTTCCTATATTTACGGACGGCTCAAAAGACTCAGAAAATGAGAGCGCAGGTTTCACTTTTTGCATTCCAGTTTTAGAAAAGTGTATAAAATTCAGAACTTCTAATTTATCAGTGTTTATGGTGGAATTGTTAGCAATCTCACTTAGCTTACTTTGGACTGAACAAAGTAGAATAAAAAGTGTATTTGTACAGCTTCTCTTTCAGCTCTAATGTCAATCAAATCAATTTAGATTGAATAAATTAGAAATAGAAATAAGATTTCTGTGGGTTCCAGCACACAGAGGGGTTGGGGGAAATGAAATAGCGGATTTTTTAATGCAAAACGAGCAACAAAACTAAACACATGGGTAGAAATTACAAATAGTGTCAACGAAGTGAAGGCAATGATCAGGAAACACGATGAATGAATGGCAGGAAATGTGGGTGAGGGGAGTAAAGGGTAGGCATGTATTTAATACACAGGGAAAGGTGGGTATGGTGAAAATTATGGAAATTAAAAATAGAGAACAAACAATAATATCAAGGTTAAGGATGGGACACACGTTTAAATAGCACTCTTCATTTAACAGGGAAACATCCTACGGATTTACGTGAACGTGGAAACGGTAGAGCATGTTTTATGTTATTGTAGTAAATATGTAGTGGATAGAAAAATTATGAGAAAATTAAAAGTAAAAGGATATGGAGAATTGAGTTTAAGGACTTTGTTGAATGGGGATAACAGAATTTGTAACTTAGTGTTGGAAATCCTTCTTCCGGCTCTTGGAGAGTACAGACACTTTTTCCTCCTCTCCTCCCTATCTTATCCCAAGGCTCTTTGTCTGTCTCTGGGTGTACGGCGCTTCTGCATTTTTTCTGGAAACTGAAATTACTAAAATGGACCTGGTCAGTTGGTCTCAATGCGATTGACAACATTTTTTTAACGATGAGAACGGGAGAAGGGGCTCCCGGGTGCCCCTCTGGGACAGAGCCAGTTGGACACATCATGGACTCCTGGAAACAGTGGAACCTGATCTGCTTATCTCAGCTGTCTGTAGAGGATTCTGAAGACGCCTGGATATTTGTGGTGTTGGTGTCAGGTTTCCTGCGTTTTGGCCTGAGCGGTTATCTGGCTTACCGGAAAATAAATGAGCTGTCGAGGAATATTGGCTCTTTCCTGGAGCTCAGGGATGGATTACACCGTGCTGTGAATGCACAGACTCATATAATTGTTGAGATGAGTCGTAAGCTTGGAACTTTGGCTGAGACTTTGGCACAAAAGATGGATGCGATCAAGGAGCGAGTGGACAAATCAGCACGGATTGGGATAGATTAATTTATGCCATTATTGGATTAAGAGAGGTTGAGGACCAACAGAACTTTAAGACAGAGAGGAAATTGTCTCTGTCTGGCTCCAAAACAAGTTCTTATCTGAATCTGGTGCCCTTGAGCCTGTGAGGCTGAAACAAATTCTCCCCCCTCAGAAGAAATGTGGAATCCTGCCGTCGC